AATGCTACAGGTCTACAAACTGATACGAACCTGGATCGAGTTAACTTTGTGACAAGATAGGACACACTGTAACGTTACAGAATTAAATGCTACAGATCTACAAACTGATACGAACCTGGATCGAGTTAACTTTGTGACAAGATAGGACACACTGTAACGTTACAGAATTAAATGCTACAGATCTACAAACTGATACGAACCTGGATCGAGTTAACTTTGTGACAAGATAGGACACATTCTAACGTAACAGAATTAAATGCTACAAGTCTATAAACTGACATCAAACCTAGATCAGGTTAACTTTGTGACAAGATAGGACACACTGTAACGTTACAGAATTAAATGCTACAGGTCTACAAACTGATACGAACCTGGATCGAGTTAACTTTGTGACAAGATAGGACACATTCTAACGTAACAGAATTAAATGCTACAAGTCTATAAACTGATACGAACCTGGATCAAGTTAACTTTGTGACAAGATAGGACACATTCTAACGTAACAGAATTAAATGCTACAGGTCTACAAACAGATACGAACCTGGATCAAGTATACTTTGTAACATGCTCCGTAAGCTTAGAAACAAATATTTTCGATTACATTATAACCCCCTGGGTGGAGCAGACGGACCCACAACGCTAAAATCCGGGGTTGGATTCCCCGTGGTGGACATAGTGCAATAACTCATCGTGTCAATTAATCCGACTTAAGTCGTATTAAAATTAAAACTACATGTTTAACTCGGAGACACCTGTGGTACAGTATAACTTGATGGTTTGTTGGAAACTTTAAAACTTAACGTTCACCATAACTCGTTATGTAACATATATATTTTACTTAGATAAATATTGTATCTACATAGTGTTTCTCAATCACTTCATACCGAGATGTTTACCTATATCCTATGAGATGTGGAATAATTGAAAAGATACGCTCCATAAAGTAGACACCCCCCCCCCCACCCACCACCACCACCATTAAGTGTATCTGATATGTAGTGACGAACCTTTTCATAGGGGTGAGACCTTGGGTGAGAATTCCGGTATTCTTCGCATTCAAAGCACGGTCCGTGCTGGCTCCGTACATTGTTAAACATCACCATTAGGAACAGCCCAACGGTCAGAACTTTGGTGGTTCTCATGGGATCTTTTCGCTCTCGTGACCTGTATTTTTCGGTAGTCATCTCCGTCTTTTCCGAACGAACTGGTCTATGTGTTCATTCCCCGTCGATGTGTTACTTCACAGCCTACTATAAAGTCGCGTGATTTGCTACAGTCAATAGAGGACTTGTACGACTCTGAAGGTGATCTAACGCAGTGTAGAGAAATGGCTAACGTTAGTTGCTGGGCTTTATTCAATGATACGTGACGGTTATGATCGCCAGCCCGATTCAACGTCTGGCACTTTCACCTAAATGTAGTGGTCTTTAGTCTCTTTCTCAACGCCCTCTAACGAGCAATCGTGAACTGTTGAAAACAACCGTGTTGAGACCGAATCAACACCAGTATTGTTTATACTAAGGGGATTACTTTAATCGTTTCTTAAGCACGTCTTTATAGCCGATTTATAGTAGATGACAAAAGATGTAATCTTCCAGTTAAACAAACTACGTGATAATAAACAAACTACGTGATAATAAACAAACTACGTGATAATAAACAAGCTACGTGATAACAAACAAACTACGTGATAATAAACAAACTACGTGATAATAAACAAACTACGTGATAATAAACAAGCTACGTGTAATAAACGTGATAATAAACAAACTACGTGATAATAAACAAGCTACGTGATAATAAACAAACTACGTGATTGCGGAAGGTGGAAATTACAACAACAAGAATCATACAAAACAAATTTTCGATAAACTCTTATAGAAAATATAAACATAAGCCGTTTGTTGTAATAAATCAATAATTAATTGGCTCTTATCTAGAATTATTGTTCACAATCGATATTGCTCCATTAAGTAAAACCTGAGAGACTGAAGAGAAAAACTAAAAATGGGAAAAGTTTGATCTTATCACGTAGCTTGTTTATTATCACGTAGCTTGTTTATTATCCCGTAGTTTGTTTATTATCACGTAGTTTGTTTGTTATCACGTAGCTTGTTTATTATCACGTAGTTTGTTTATTATCACGTAGCTTGTTTATTGTTGGACCTCTAGATTTCGGACCTGGAGAATCTGGTTCGAATAGATGCGATACTACTAAATATTACCCGTATTTTAAGCCGTGAGTGAGTGGCTGGTGGGTCGTACGGTGTTTCTGATTGATTGTCTTCCATCTGGACATTAGTTCAAAATTAGGGACGGCGGCAGACAGCCAGAGAGTAACTTTGCTATAAGCAAAAAACATAAATAGATATCGTTTAGCTATTAAACTTATCAGACACGTGTTGTTGTTTTTCTCTGTGTTCTCTAACGTTTATGGTAGTTTAGGGCTAGGGTTGTGTCCCAATATTGTTCCTTATTGGGGCGTAATTTCTTCCTGCATTATTGTGGTTTATTTTCTTCACCCTTACTTTGTTTTATTTTATGTTGTAAACCTACCAGCGAGTTTTTTTATTATTATTATTTGTAACTTATATCTTGTTAGAGTGGTGTCCAGATACAGAACTCTTTAACACATTTTATTTATAACTAGCCGGAGTACCTGTCCTCTGGAGACGGAAGGTATGTAAATTCATGATTAATGAAAGGTTATCTTAGGATATGAAAAGTTGCTTCCCTTATATATAATTATAAAAAACGACATAAAAACTACAAAATGTGAAACCGCAAATTTGCATGTATCTCTGCATGGACCCAAAAAAACTTTCATGTCAAATTTGGGGAAGATCCATCTACAGGGGGGCGAAATAGTGATAAAAAAAACGCCCACAAAAACCGTAAAACGCAAAATGCGAAATTGTATGTAGCCCCGCATGGACCTAATGAACCTCCATACCAATTTTGCTGAAGATCCATCTACACCCTGCGATGTGGTTACATGGACAGACAGTACTATTATATTTATAGAGCTGTATGTATGTAAATGAGGAGAAAGTGTTGGTGTGTTTTATACTCATCTTGTTTCTGAAGAAGTAGTTTAAACACAAAGCTACACGATGAGCTATCTGTGCTCTGCCCACCGCGGGTTTCGAAACCCTATTTCTAGCGTTGTAAGTCCGCATACATACCGCCGTGTCACTAGTAAGCTGAAGACGTCGGAAATAGACCTACCTTGCTGCAAAATAATTTTGATAGTTCTAAAATAGCACAGTTTTTGCATTATCTATACTTTACATTAGGCCTATAATATGTCAACACAAAAGTATTCAGCCCCCTACTGGTTTTATTATTTTTTAAAGAAAAAGAAGGGTGTATAATAATAACACTATTTCAACCACGTTATTTCTTCTATATTAATTGCAGGCAACGCATTTCGCTCAATACAGAGCTCATCAGGCCGGGTTTGATACAACAAACACAGTAGTGGTCGGTACTCTCTTTATGCAGAGGGCGTCATTGGCAATGGGTGTGGCGGAGTATAGTACGATTGAAAATATATATATATATTCAATCTTTTTTTTTCCTTGAGAAATAAAAACCTAAGGGATCGGATAAAGAATTTAGTGCTAAAATATGATAGGCCTAATACTAAATGACAAGTACAATTAATTAGTATCATGCTTTGCCAGCTTGAAAAATGCGTTCACACCATAATAATATTAACTATGGTTAAAATATGGTTCTCAGCACTGGTTTTAACCTCATTTTATTCAATTTTAGGCTCTTTACTATGTTCTTTACGTTGTTACACACTTGATTCTCTACACTAGTGTTTTCCCCACTTTGTTTCATATTTGTTCTCCACATTAGTGTTTTTTTATATTGTTTTATACTTTGTTCTCAACACTACTGTTTGTATCCCCCTTTGTTCAATACTTGGTTCTCAACACTAATGTTTTTATCCCCCTTTGTTCAATACTTGGTTCTCAACACTAATGTTTTTATCCCCGTTTCGTTCAACACTTTGTTCTCAACACTACTGTTTTTATCCTGCTTTGTTCAATATTTGGTTCTCCACACTACTGTTTTTATCCCATTTTGTTCAACACTTTGTTCTCAACACTACTGTATTTATCCCGCTTTGTTCAATACTTTGTTCTCAACACTACTGTATTTATCCCACTTTGTTCAATACTTTGTTCTCAACACTACTGTATTTATCCCGCTTTGTTCAATACTTTGTTCTCAACACTACTGTATTTATCCCACTTTGTTCAATACTTGGTTCTCAACACTACTGTTTTTATCCCACGTTGTTCAATACTTGGTTCTCAACACTACTGTATTTATCCCCCTTTGTTCAATACTTGGTTCTCAACACTACTGTATTTATCCCACTTTGTTCAATACTTGGTTCTCAACACTACTGTTTTTATCCCACGTTGTTCAATACTTTGTTCTCAACACTACTATTTTTATCCCATTTCGTTCAATACTTGGTTCTCAACACTACTGTATTTATCCCGCTTTGTTCAATACTTGGTTCTCAACACTACTGTATTTATCCCACGTTGTTCAATACTTGGTTCTCAATACTAATGTTTTTATCCCACGTTTGTTCAATACTTGGTTCTCAACACTACTGTTTTTATCCCACGTTGTTCAATACCTTGTTCTCAATACTACTGTATTTATCCCACGTTGTTCAATACTTGGTTCTCAACACTACTGTTTTTATCCCACGTTGTTCAATACCTTGTTCTCAATACTACTGTATTTATCCCACGTTGTTCAATACTTGGTTCTCAATACTACTGTTTTTATCCCGCTTGTTCAATACTCGGTTCTTAATACTAATATCTCCTTAACATTGTTTCGTATTGGTTCTCAACACTAGTGTTTTTTCTCTTGTTGTTTCGTACTTGGTATAAGTATATCATGTCTATAAAATATATACCACAGAGTATGGATTGACTGGCCTATAGTTTAACGAATAGACTCTTATATTCACGCTATGGTTGAATCACTTCTTTGAGATATAAGATTAAATAGTGAACATTTTCTGTTGTCAGATCTACCAAAGTTTTTTAAATCAAACAGTTGTTCCTTCCACGTTTCTTTAAGTAACTCTATAAAGATCAAAGTTTCTGTGTTTGTTTTTTCAAGTAAATATGAAATGTTTTTACAACACATCAATAGAATTACCTCATGTTGTCAAATGTGACAAATAGCGTTATGGTGTTCGCGGGAAGAAAGACAATATTTATCCATCTAAGAAAAAAGGACGTTGTTGGACTTTGAAGAAGGTTTCAATGTTTACTCGACTTGCCAATGGATCGAAGCACATTATACTAACTCCGAGTAGGTAGTAAGCAATTGGAACTCAAGTGACTAATTGACTCCTAGCGATCGGGTCAACAGAGTTTATTAAAAGTATGAAGAGAGAGAGGAAACAACGTGCCAGTAAAGACCTGTGAAGATAAGGATCGAACCTGTTTTTCAGGAATACAACTTGACAGTCACGAATTAGCTTGTTTTATTGCCTTGGCGGGTGAAATTTGCTTTTCCGGAATACAACTTGACAGTTACGAGATGACTTGTTCTGTTGTCTTGACGGAAGGATCTTGCCTTTCCGGAGGACAGTACGAATTGGCTTGTTCTGTTGTTTTGTTTCTGTTGCTGTTTTCCAGAGTGTCCACATGGTGATTGAAAAACAGTGCCGTAGTAAAAACAATAACATCTCCTTTCGACATACTGTATCGTTTAATTAATTCAACATAATTTTTATGGGCTTGTTGTTTATTTAGAATTAAAATTAATTCAGCATCTTTGGTTTCAGCCCATTTTTGGCAGCCCTCAGAAAAATCTTCACGGCCACCAGGGGGCCGCTGCTCCCACTTTGGGAAACCTGACGCAGTCAATCTTGGATTACACTATTAAAACATTAGTGATGTAAACTATCAGGAAGATTGTGTTATTTCGCAGTAACCCAAATTGTAGTCTCCAGACACAAACAATTTAGTGTTGTAGCAGTATAAACACACGAGAGTTGTTTTCTAGCAACACAAATGTCGTGCAGGTTTTTAATGAAAAGGGTATTTTTTAAATTGTTTGTTGTTAAACACAAAACTTCACAATGGGCTATCTATGCTGTGCCCATCGCGGGATTCGAAACTCAGTTTTTAGCGTTATAAGTCCTCAGACTTATCGTTGAGCCACTGGGGGGGTGGGGGGGAAGGCTGTGTTTAAACAATTTTATGACAAGTTTCGGTTTGGACGATTCATGAGCAACACATTATGGTAAGAATTACTCTTCGTTTGAAGTTATTTTCAAACTATTTTTAATTCAT